CCGTCGTCGACCATGAGTCTCAGGGCTGGATCGGGTCACTTCCCATCAATCAGTTTTCTTATTCGCAAAAGCCAACTGGCGCTTCACCACACTGGCGTGGCCGTTTACCGGACCCTCGCGACTTCCTCTGTGGCCACCCATGCGTACAGATGTAGGTCCTCTGGAATCAGTAACGACTCGTTCAGCTCTTTCTCGGTCTTCTTGAGCCGTCTGTTTCGTTCTGCACGACCCTTTGTTTCCAGTATAGAGATGCCTTGCATCGTCTCTTCACAATACTCCTCAAAGTACAACTGCCATGCCTTCCAATTCTCATGCCACGATGATCGTGACGATCGAGGAGCCAGAACTGTTACTTTGCTTGCGTTGGATCCGGATGGATCTGCAGCGCTCTGAACAGAGTCTGATCCCGAATCCTGGACAGAATCCTGGGCTGAGTCCTGGGCTGATTCTTGTGCCGATTCCTGGGCTGATTTCGCATCCACCCAGCTCCTCACCCCCCGCTTCTGGGATGCCAACTTCGGCTACGCGTTGCTCCACTTCAGGAAGCACATTCTCGCCTCCTCCTGCGCTTAAGGCTGGGTCTAGAGCCGCGGTCACATCCATAGGGTTTGAATTTCCCCCTCCATCGTATGTTAGACAAGGTTTCGAGCTCTCGGTAGCGTTACCGATGGCGATAGGTAGAACCGGCTCCTGAAAGTCATCAACTTGCACGTCGTCCGTCGTCTTGACATCACTCACGCACCCAGAATCGTCCGCAGGAATTGCGTCGCCATGCAAGTACTGTTACTCCTTTCCATCGTTGATCTCTCTGGATTCGTCACCCTTTGAGATACCAACGTTAACCTTGTCCTCAGCCGCTTCGCCACGAGTCTTGTCCTGGTTCTTAGTAGCGCCGTCGTTTCCTTGAGTTATGAGATTGTTGGCAGCTTCAGTGTGGTCTGAAGCTTCTTCTTGATCATTTGCTTGAGCGTCGTCACTAGCTTCATGGTCGTCTTCACTCTCGTATGGAGTCTATTCATTGCCTGCGCCGGTGCGTGGTGTGGCCTTCCAGGAGCCGGAACCGGAGCGCGCCACTCTTCCTCGCGCGCCGCTTGCCATCGGGCGGTAGTTTCAAGGACTGAGTGAGCGTGTCTCATAGTCAGAGAATGAAAAATAAAATTCGTTACCGACTGGAAGTTTCGGTCCTGGATGATAATCCTGTATAAATCCAGATGAAAATCTATTGTTGTAATCCTGGGCTCCAGTGTTTCCGATTAATTTTTGTACATGTACAGACGACCCCCTCGGTAGTTATAGCGGTGGGAGCCGCCAATTTATTCCTGTCTAAGGGTATTGCTATCCACGAATGTACCATAAAAATGGATCCGAGTACCTTCAGTTTGGAACAGTGCACAAAATATACTAATAGAGACGACTGATGTGTCTCGTTACTGGCGATTCACCCTGTCCTGTTGCCAGTTTTGCCTCACCACACAATGATACCCTCCTCTCTAGTCCAACCAGTCTACCTCACTCTCACCAATACTCAACGACTGCTGTACAAATATGTTAGCACCATGCTCACATACCTAGTTTGTCCCAGAGCTAAATTCATGGGCTCACGGAATCTACGGTCTTGGAAGCTATTGATTCGCTGAAGAGCACTGGACTCACTTCCGGTCTCTCAGTTAACCACCAATCGCGGCACGAGGCGTGCGCCAGTCTACACCCGACCAGGTACTTGCCAGTTGGGTTTCGTGGGGTGAAGACTCTTCAGAAGAGGGTGTTGCCGTCACAGGTGTGCAATTAGAGTGAAGGTTGAGCACTTCTCCGTGATCCTAAAGCTCGAATCACGTCCTATGGAGATGCCTGGCTAGGAGAATCATTTGATTCGACACCGACTGTACCAGCCGTGTTGGCTCGTATTGATCGTCATGTGAATTTCACGTGGAATATTTTCTTACCTAGGTTTAGTAGCATCTTTTCGTTTGACGCTGTCACAAAATAGGTATCATCGGTTCAACATATCGGATCGTGGCAGCAACAATGCTCTTGTGCAGTTATGACTTTTCCATAGTTAAGAACCCCAGAATAGGAATATTTGACTTCAAATGTATTCCATTTTACAATTGAGGGGTGAGAGGGAATATTATCTTGGGTTTGTAAGAGACTGGTCAACTGGAACCGCTAATTTATTGCTATTGAGGGAGTATTCCATTTCTAGGGATTACTACTGAGGGGTCGTCTGTACTAAGTTACTGGGGATTATTTGCAGTAAATTACTGCAAATAATCATTCCACTAATAAACATGCGTGAGCTTCAGACGAGCCTCTTGGTTGCATAGTGCATGGGTTCAGCAATGCTGGTCTGGAATCCCGCAGGATGCGGTCACAGAGTTTTCCCTACAGCCGCCAGCGTCATGCTGCGAGTCGCAGTCCCTCATTCCGGAATTCGCAGCGGCCGGCTCATATCACGTAGAAGATGTGGGGTTTGACGCAGCACCAAGTGAACCAGCGTGAGGCTACGTTCGCGGTTGGAGCCCTTGGGGCGCTTTACGTTAGCTACAAATGGCTCATCGCCGTGTACAGGGCCAACGCCATGACGCGTGCGTTCGATGCCCAAGGACTACACCGCCCTAAGTCCACATTGCCAATTCTCGGCAACACGCTGGATGTGATGTTCTACCAGAAGGAGCGACTTTGGGATTGGATGGCGGAGCAAAGCAACCTTAATGACGGCAAACCCTGGGTGCTCAGCATTGTCGGTCGCCCCGACGCACTCATCGTCACGTCCCCCGAGGCGTGCGAAGACGTCTTCAAAACGCAATTCGACAATTTCGGTCGAGGCACCGAACTCCGCGACGTGATCTACGATATTTTCGGTGACGGGATCGCTGGAGTTGATGGCGAAGAGTGGTTAAAACAGAGAAGAATTGCCAGTCATCTCTTCTCCATGAAAATGCTTCGGGATACAATGGACGCAGTTATCATCGAAAAAGTGACCAAACTTAAGGAAGTTCTTGCCGATTGTGCGAAACAAGACAAGGTTGTTCCGATGAAGTCTCTGTTTGGCAAGTACACGAGCGAGGTTTTCACGAAAATCGGCTTCGGTGTTGACCTCGACAGTTTGGAGAGTGACCCTTGTTCGGACTCGAATAATGCCTTCATCAAGGCGGTTGACGTGTACGCTGAGGTCTTCGGGGCACGAATTCAGTCACCTGCTTGGTTCTGGAAGCTTAAGCGCTTGTTGAGTATCGGTGACGAAGGCAGACTCAAACAAAGCGCCAAGGTGGCGGAGGGTTTAACTCAAGAAGTACTGGCCAAGTCGTTGGAGATCCGACGTCGTGACAGTGGTGAAGTGAAGCGAACGGATCTATTGACGCTGTTCGTTGAGAACAATACGAACATCGACCCTAAGGCGGTACACGATACTCTGATGAGCTTCCTCTTGGCAAGCAAGGACACTACGAGCTTCAGCTTGTCGTGGGTTCTCGTTAACCTTAACCGTTATCCGGCTGTGCTTGCCAAACTGCGCAACGAGATTCGAGAAAAACTACCAGGTCTTATGACGGGCGAGATCCAAGTTCCAACCATGGAAGATCTCCAGAAACTACCCTACTTAGAAGCTGTAGTGAAGGAAAGTCTACGTCTGCACATGGCAGCGACTAACCGCATGACCAACACGTCAACGACACTCAGTGATGGCACTTTTGTACCTGAGGGCTGTGCGGTTATGGTCCCGATCTACGCTTCTGCACGTGTCAAGAGCGTGTGGGGTGAGGATGCTGCCGAGTTCAAACCTGAGCGATGGATCGACCCTACGAGTGGAAAGGTTAAACCGGTGTCGCCATTCAAGTTCTTCACGTTCGCAGCGGGTCCCAGACAGTGTCTGGGTATGCGCTTTGCACTGTTACAGATCCAGACGACAGTCGCCGTGCTCTTCAGCCACTTTGACCTCAAGACCAAGGAGAACCCGTTCGATATCACGTACGACTTCGCCATCACACTTCCGGTCAAGGGCCAGCTCAACGTTACCGTGCGCGAGATCACACCCGCTGCCTATTAACCACCGAACATCTATGAAATTCCTTTGCGTTCTGATCCCTTGGCAACCGCTGAATGCATCTCTCTATCTGCACAAGTACAATAGAAAACTTGGACCATCGATCCCTGATCAAAACTTGATCCAAGTCTGACCGGGAATACTGCGAGAAGCTCACCGTCACAAAGTTTGTGATACAAACGCCAAGTCTTCATCTTTCCCAGCGTAGTTTTGTTAGCGCCACGCAGCTGCGGTTGGACCCCTCGACAAAGCGAGAAATTGGCGCTTCTCCAGCACGAACGCTGCAATTGAAGTCCAAGAGCCAATAAGCAACACGCTCATCGGTGCAAATCTGCAATGGCCCTTCCTGACTAGATCGGGAACACATGGATACAGCACCACAGACGATCCGAAATCGGGCGTTGCGGTGGTTTGGACCTCCCTTTGGTGATCCCTTGTCTACCTCCACTGGTGTCGTAGCAGCTCTTGGGGCTGCATTGCCATCATTTCGGAATTCTCTTCGTGTCTCGCAGTGTCTTTAAGTATGTGGGGAATTGCTCAACATCAAGTGACCGAACGCCAGGCAGTGCTCACTGCTGGAGCGCTCAGTGGTCTGTATCTGGGCTACAAACTGCTGGTTGCAGTGTACAAGGAGATGAAGATCACCCGCGCGCTGGACTCGCAGGGACTACACCGCCCCAAGTCGACGCTGCCAATTCTAGGCAACACACTCGACGTCATGTTCTTCCAGAAGGACCGACTGCAAGACTGGATGGCTGAGCAGAGTCAGATTAGTGAGGGCAAGCCCTGGGTGCTCAGCATTATTGGTCGTCCACAGACGCTCATCATCACGTCGCCCGAGGCGTGCGAAGATGTGTTCAAGGCGCAGTTCGACAACTTCGGCCGCGGAGACGAACTGGTTGACCTTCAGCACGACATCTTCGGCGAAGGTGTGGCCGGCGTGGACGGCGAGAAATGGCTGAAGCAGAGACGTATCGCCAGTCACATGTTCTCTATGAAAATGTTGCGAGACGTGATGGACGAAGTGATTATGGAGAAATCCATCAAACTTCGCGACGTCCTCGCTCAGTGCGCGAAGGAAGGCCGTGTCGCGCCCATGAAGTCACTACTGGGCAAACTCTCTAGCGACGTGTTCACCAAGATTGGCTTCGGCGTGGATCTGCACGGTCTGGACGGAGATATCAACTCGGAAATGGACCACCCGTTCATTGAGGCGGTCGACGGCTATGCTGAGGTTTTCGGTGCCCGTCTGCAGTCGCCAATGTGGTACTGGAAGCTCAAACGTTTCTTAAACATCGGAGACGAGCGTATGCTCAAACGTTGCATCAAGGTGGCTACGGATCTGTTGAACGAAGTTATGCTCAAGTCTATGGCGAACAAGACCGCGGAGGACTGGAGCACTAAGACCGACCTGCTTACGCTGTTCGTGGACCATACCGGCAAGACGGACTCTTCGGATCTACGTGACGCAATGATGAATTTCTTCCTGGCTGGCAAGGAGACGACGAGCTTCAGTATGGCCTGGGTTATTGTGAACCTCAACCGCCATCCGCGCGTGCTGGCCAAGCTTCGCAAGGAGATCCGCGAGAAACTGCCAGAACTTATGACCGGCGAGCTGCAGGTCCCGACGATGGAGGATCTGCAGAAGGTCCCGTACATTGAAGCCGTGCTCAAGGAGAGTCTGCGTCTGTACATGACGGGCGTGCACCGTACGCCCATGCGATCGACTACGCTTCGTGACGGAACGTATGTACCGTTCGGGTCGTATGTGGTCATGTCAGTGTACGCTGCTGCGCGCGTGAAGAACGTGTGGGGCGAGGACGCGGCCGAGTACAACCCGGACCGCTGGATCGACGAGGAGACCGGCAAGATCAAGTTCGTCAACCCGTTCCAGTTCATCACGTTCGGCGGCGGGCCGCACCAGTGTGTAGGCATGCGCTTCGCCCTGTTGGAGATGCAGACAGTCATTGCTGTGCTGTTCAGCCGCTTCGACATCAAGACGCTTGAGGACCCGTTCAAGATCACGTACGACTACAGCGTCACGCTGCCCGTTAAGGGCCCGCTTGAGTGTACAATCCACGAAGCGAGCGCCCCCGCATTCTAAGCCAGTTACGGAGATCTAGTTACGTGCATATAAGTCTCTACATCATTATCAATATAAATCTCCTTTGCACCCAGTCAAGTCGTCATCCGATGGTGACCTCGGCAGATGTTGAAGCTGCATGGTCGAGACCTCCACGACCGCATCGACGGGATCAGCTGGGAGGTGCTCGCTCTCTGGTGGTCTCCTCTACTCGGCGACTTGCTGCCTACCGCGTATTCCGGTGGGCTGATTCGAGCAATGTGGACTCTGAGCCACCACGATGCTGCAGCCGCCATCGCTTTCGTGACTGCGGTGTACGTCGGGTGGAACGTCGCGTCTTCTGTGGCAGCGAGACGTGCTGTAAATAAGGTGCTGGCAGACCAGGAGATCTACGAACCACCATCGCTGCCCGTACTAGGACACACACTGGAACTGGCAAGCAACAAAGATCGCTTCCATGACTGGTTCACGGAAAAATCTTTGGCTGCAGGTGGACGACCGTGGGTCCTGCGGATCATTGGGCGTCCACCTACATTGGTTCTCACGTCTCCTAAAGAGATTGAAGAAGTGTTCAAGACCCACGTGAACATTTTCGAAAAGGGTCCCGATATTCGTGAGATCGGCTACGATTTCTTCGGTGAGGGGATCGTCGGCGTGGATGGCGAAAAGTGGCGGCAACAGAGACGCACTGCTAGCCACTTGTTCTCGATGAACATGCTCAAGGACAAAATGGACGCTGTGGTGATCGAGAAATCTCTGCAACTTCGAGATGTACTGGCCGAATGTGCGCGTTTAAACAAACCAGTTAGCATGAAATCGTTGCTGTCAAAGTTATCGAGTGACGTGTTCACAAAAATTGGCTTTGGCGTCGATCTCAACGGTTTAGGAGGTGACGTCGATGTCGAGATGGAACATCCGTTCATCAAGGCCGTCGAGACGTTCGGTTATGTCTTCCAGTCTCGACTGCAGAGTCCCATGTGGCTGTGGAGGCTGAAGAAGCGCTTTGGCTTAGCAGAAGAAGGAGAACTTCGTAAGGCTAAAAAAATTGTACACGATCTTGTGATGGAGATCATGAAGAAATCCATTACAGACAAGAACGCAGCAACAAGTTCAAAGCAAGAGAAGGACTTGATCACGCTCTTCATGGATACTATGGATAGCACTGCGGACGTGATGGAAGTCCGCAATGCCGTCATGAACTTCTTTCTGGCTGGCAAAGACACGACGACCTTCAGTATGTCCTGGATGATAGTCAACATGAACCGGTACCCGCGTGTTCTGGACAAGATCCGAGCCGAGATCAACTCGAATTTGCCTGAATTGGTGTCGGGTGAGTTGGAGGCCCCATCGATGTCCGATCTTCAGAAGTTGCCATACCTGGAAGCGGCTATGAGGGAGAGTCTTCGGCTGTACATGGCCACTGTTCATCGCGCGCCTAACCAGTCCGTCACTCTGGAAGGTGGCCTACATGTTCCATTTGGCACTCACGTTATCGTGCCAACTTACGCCATGGGACGTATGACGAATGTGTGGGGTGAAGATGCCGCTGAGTACCGACCGGAGCGCTGGATTGATGACGACGGGAACGTTATCAAGATATCGCCATTCAAGTTCTTCAGTTTCTTGGCTGGTCCCCATCAGTGTCTAGGAATGCGCTTTGCTCTGCTAGAGATGGAAACGGTGATGGCTGTGCTTCTGAGTCGCTTCGACCTTAAGACCGTCGAGAACCCGTTCGATATCACCTACGACTTCAGCGTCACGCTTCCTGTCAAGGGACCGCTAGAGTGTATGATCCACGATCGCTCGGCCTCAATTGCGCCAAGCAGCTAGTCGTAGTTTAACGTGTTTGCCCTCGAAGAATTACAGATTCCATTAGTGTTTAGCGATCATGTTAGCGCATCTTCAGAGCGTGCATTTTAACTCCAAACGGAAATCTTGACGCCTTTGACTCGATGCTGCATCTCCAGCACAACTGCAAACGCTACCACTGCTCCGAGGATACTGTACCCATTCGAGTCCATGCGCCGTAATTTGAAAGCCAGCCGGCTTCAGGTGACTTTTTCTTGTATTATCAAGATCACTAGCATCGGTGCATCGGTAGTGAAGTTACAGCACGAAGCAGTGGCGTCGTACTCATCTAACGCTAGAACTCAATAGACGGGGTATCTCCCACTCCGGCTCATTTGCAGGCCGTGAATTAATAATAATTGATACGACACGTGAACTGCATTCTCCAAAACATTTGGCGACTGAGCCGACTGTTGATTTCAAAGTGGTGTGATGACCGACAGGAACTGCAGTTATGGTCAGTGTACTATGCACATTGATATTATTCATCTGCTCACCCGTTCACCTTGAACGTATGCGGGTAGTATCCTCCACAAAGTTCCTGCAACCGAACTGACGGTGACCAACCAAATTTAGTGCGCCAAGATGAGACAGTGATAACGCTATATCTCCTTCGCTTTCCCGATGCTTTGCATATTTCTCCTTCCAGAAAGAAGGCACTTGCTCCACATGCACCCACTTCAGCACACAGCGCTCAAGAAATTTTCTGAAGCATTAAAAATTATTGGGGCGAAGCCCCCTCTATAATCGTGTTTCTCTTATTTAAGCTCTGATTTAGTTCTTACAGCTTGTAACCATAAATTTTGAGAGTGGGTTAGGGCTACAATTTTCAATCGTGCGTACTGGGGGCCAATTTGAGCAAAAAAACTTGAGTTGAAGAACAATTCCCGATTTGGACTCTGGTGTTTCGGGTTTAAATGCGTCTCTAGGAGATAGGGTTTGAGGTAAACGTTATTAAAACTGAGGCCCGGTTTTATTTCCATAGAAAACGCCCCTTCAATGTGGAACACTAGAAAATAGCGTAAAACGGAACTTTTTATCTGGTTTGTAGCGCTAGCAAGTGGCCTTATACTCCTTATTGACGTCTTAATTATAGGCTAAACCTTCAATAATTTATCACACAGGTAAAAAGTCGGCTGAAGTATTTACGCCCGGTCCGAAAAGCCGCAATGGGGCTCAACGGCACTTTCCAATAGCATTAAACACCATTAAACACCAGGAGCATTAGACCCGTGCAATATCGGACATGGCGGTGAAACCTTGCGGTATTGCAATTTCCCTACTTTGATTGCACGAGCACGTGCTACGCGGTCTTGCGTTTGTCGTTGTGAGGCTGCAAACTTCAAGCACGGTTAAGAGCGAATAGCTTCCGGAGAACTGGAGCTCTGCATGAACTAACAGCCATCGACGCAGACACGGAAGGTATGGGCTTTATGTCAAGATATGTTTTACTGTATTCACGTACTAAGAAGTTGATTGGTACAAAACTATAGACTTTTTTGCTGCGATCGACCAGCCATTACTTAAAATTTGTGGCAGCTGTGGTGAGCTTACGAAGGCAACTCGTGTTATTTGTAAGCCATACGACCCGCACAGCCAGTACCTGGTCCCACTTCAAAATGCAGAAGGGATCTGTGAGATTATTGAAGAGGCCATTACCATACCAGTCGAAGGCGTCAAATATATTTATTTGTGTTGCCGCTGCGATATTTCGCTTCTAAAACATGCAGTTCCGAAATATCCCAGAGCTAGTGGTGTTCGTATTGCACCTGTGCCTAAGGAACTGTCGGAATTGAATTGGATGGAAGCTCGGTTAATAGGGCTTGGCGTATCGTTCACTACATGCATTAATCTCTATCACGATCAACAGGAGTTTACTCGTGGAAACGCCATCCATTACTGGAACAATGTTACCGAAATGGAGATTTGGCTTCCTAGACCATTGAGCAAGTCTGGTGTAGTGCTATTACGATCCAAGAACATTCAAGGACAAACACTTGTCACTGTTCGACCTAATTTCATTAGGCGTGCCTTGCTATGGCTTATCCATCACAATCCACTTTATAGAGACGTTCATATTTCTAAAGACAATTTAGCGATACTAGATAAATTCGGCGAAGATATTCCAAGAGTCGAACTATCTGAAGAAGATGAGAACCAGCTTCATAGTATCCAACAACCGACAGACGCTCGTGAATATACCAGCAGTTCTAATAAATACTGGACTGGTGCAGCAAAGCCAACGACAGATGATCTGTCCAATTGCAAAACAATGAATGATATTGACTCAGAAATTACTATTGAAGACTCACTAGAGATGGAGGTTAGTTGCAGCGGGGCTGCCGTAGCTGAGCGTCAGAGGAAGACGGCTAACTTAAAGAGTAAAGGGGTTAACTCAACACCCTAATAAAGGTTAATAGGTCCTTAATATCCGAAGGCCCCTACTAACGATAACCTTAATAAAAGGGG